CCGTTCTCCCTACCATCACTCACTCCAAGGGCGATCTCCTTCTCTCAACAACATCCCCACCCTCGCCAATCTCTCTCATTCCGGCACCAGACGATGGGCGGACAAGTATAGTGAGGGTTGATACCACAGGGCATGTTAGAGGCAAAAGCCTGTTGCGTCTTTTCAGAGTAATTTCGTTCATTGTTTGCCACGGCCAAGTATATGGGGAAGAAGGCAATCGGGTTCGGGTTCCTCAGAACTGAGGAATGGTCACCGGCCCCGAAATGTTAACCCTGATTATTCTTCACATGCTGCCAGACTCGCTGAGCTTTTCTAGCAGTTTCTGCTTTTGTTCCTGATTTACAGCATCTGCAGTTCTTTTGTTTTTGTTTAAAGAAGGCAGTCGGCTTGGATTGCTCCAGTAAAGAATTGCTACAGACATGGGCTGAATGGAGTGTAACCATCTTTGTGGCTGTATGCCCTGTGTGGATCCTCCTGATATGCCAATTTTTCCCAAGAATAGCAGTAATTTTTGATTGGGAAAAGTAATACGCCCTTATTAAGCCAAGGTGTTTAGACAAGACAATCTGACTAACCAAAATAAACCAAAACCCATCACCTTTAATACTGTATTTATTCTGCATATATGAAGGCTGTTATGAATGAGTTTTATTTCACACTGGTTACTCTGCAAATGCAGCCTGAATCTGGAGTCAGGTCTAAGCTAACAGTTCAGTCGAGTCAAACTCTTGAAGAGATTTGTAGCCTGTTTGGAGTTAGAATTTGTTCAGTCTTTGAATTGCACACCACATGAGTTTAATGCAAAATAAAAAAAAACTACCATGTTAATTTTATAAATGCATGCTAACGCAGCCAATGCATGCTAACGCAGCCAATGCATCTGCATGCTGTCAACAATGCTGATGTGCAATCTCTTCTACACAGTCTCCAGTTGAGTGCACCCCACAGTCAAGGAGATGTTGCTGCTGGTTGGCAATATGATACACTTATGGCCACATGGATATTACTACATGGAATACAAATGAACTGAAACTTGTTAGGGAACTCTCCTTAATGTGTTTGTTAACTTTGAAATAAGTTAGAATGTTGACTGAAATTGCAATGGGAGATGTTGATAACTGAGAAAAAGAGATTTCTTTCAACAGTTTATTATCTAAGTCACGAAAAAGATCTGTTTGTGCTTCTGTGTGAGAGCATTGATTCTAGATGATGTGTTTGCGATGAATAAAATTAACCTTCCTCTCTTTACAGTTTCTCACCTTCTCGGAACGGTTGGCGAATGTGAATATTGATATAATCCATCGGATTGATAGAACTGGGAGCTATGCTGAGGTAAAGAGGAGCTGATGCACAAGCATAAACCTTTTGATAATGAGCATACTTTAAATGTTGTCGCCCTCAAGTACTGCATTAGCTGGAAATAATTCTCGAATAGATGAGGGGGCTTTACAAATAGTTCCCACCAAAGATTGCTGGGAATTGTTTTAAGGGCAAATAGCAATTGAGACAAAGCTTGAAGTCTTGGAAGTGGATTAAGATGATGTAAAGAGAAGTAAAGGAGAAATGGGATCAGCTGAAACATCATTAAAATGATGGGCATAATGGCCTCCTTTCTGTGTAATCGCTATGATCTGTGCATTGTCATTTTAATATAAATCCTATTCTTGTGTGATGGCTTTTTTTGTTTGCTTTTTCTAAATTCCTAAAGTTAAAGTAACTAGTGGTGCGTTGTAAAAGTAGAGTGTTATTATTTAAAGTTATCCTGTAAGGAAATTCTCTTAAACTTTAGTGAGATGCATTTTTACTTTCTGAATACGCAGTGAAGTGATCGTCACTAAATCCTAATGCCTTGTAACTGAAAGGAACTTAAATTTGCATGGCAAGTTTTATATTACTGAAATGCCACAACACAGTTGATTCTCTTTGTTTTTTGCAGCTACTGTTATAATGTAGAAAAATGTGGCAGGTAATTTGTGTATAGCAAGCTCCCACATATTGTAGTGCTTTGGGGATTTTTGATTGTGGGCTAATTGTAGATCAGCTCTCTGGGGAGAGCTGCCCAGCTTTTCTTTTGAGTAGTGCCATTGGATTTTTTGCATTCGTCTTGTTGGTCAGATGTGGTCTAAGTTTAACATTGCATTCGAAGAAGGTACTCCGACAGCAGTGCAGTGAATGGGCCAGCTTGGGTTAATTGCTTGAGTCTTGGAGTGATGCTTGAACCCCCAAGTTTCTGATGTGGATAGGAGTGCTTTTGAACTGAGCTGTGGTTGATACTTGTTGAGCTCCAGAGTAAGTGTGGATCTATGCTGATGACCTGAACTTGTCCCCAGTGACAGATTCAATTTGATATTCCGACAGCTGTGCATTTAACACTCTGAACAATCCTTTCCAAAGAATCAGACTCAGACGGAATAAGTTTAGTGAGTGAAAGATAGAAGCATTGTTACCTGGACTTCTAAGGCTTAGCTCCAGGACTAGAATTTCTGCAGTTGGATTCTTCTTCTTGTAGTTGCACTGACTAGGATTGGGACTGCAGTGTGTTCTTTGTGTGCACAGTTACTGCCTTGCATGTGCAAATCAAATCCTACATTTCTTTTCTCAGGAAGTGGAAACCTACTTTTATGAAGGCCTGGAGAAATGGAGAGATCTTAACTGCACGGAACACTTTGGTATGGCTTCACTTACACAGTTGCTCTATTAACATTTGTCAGAACCTCACTGTATTTGTCGCAGAAGTATTGCGGTATATTTGCTCTGGTTTGCCTTTAATTGGACAACAATCTTGGAAAGCAGTCGGTGCATTGTACTACATGATATGCTTAGGAATGAGTATGGTTATGAAAAAGATAAATCTTCAGGGCTAAGGGTAAACAGCAGACTGAAGCCACAGCAGAACTAGACATGTTTTAAAATTCACTAATGGAATATGGGCATCACTGGCTAAGGGCCGTAAGTCAACCATATTGTTGTGGACTGGAGTCACATATAGGCCAGAGCAGCTAAGGATGGCGGTTTCCCTCCCTAAAGAACATTAACGAACCTGATGGATATTTACGATAAATGACAATGGATTTGTGGTTATTATTAGACTTTTTATTCTTGATTTTTATTGAATTCAAATTCCATTTTCTGCTCTGAAACCTGAATACCCAGAACATTACCCGGGTCTCTGGATTAACAGTCCAGTGATAATACCACTAGGCTGTTGCATCCACATATTACCGATTTCCTTCAATTCTTCCCTCTCACCAGACCCATGGTCCTCTAACATTTCTGGAAGGTTATTTGTTCCCCTTTTTGTGAAGACAGAGCTAAAGTTTGTGTTCAATTTTTCTGCCATTAGTTTGTTCCCCATTACAATTTCCCTGGATTCTGTCTGAGAGGACCTACACTTGTCTACTAATCTTTTACTCTTCATATATTTATAGTAACTTTTTACAGACATTTTCTATATTCCCTGCAATTTTACTCTTGTACTCTGTTTTCGCTCTCCTGAATTTTTTATTTGTCCATTTTGCTGAAGTCTAAAGTAATTCCAGTCCTCAGACTTGCTGCTTTTTTTGGCAATTTTATATGTCTCCTCTCTGGGTCGAATACAATTCCTAATTTCTTTTGCAAGCTATGGTTAAGCCTCCTTTCCTCTTTTATATTTGTTCCAGACATGAATGAATAATTGTTTTAATCGTGCACACGTCGTTCAAATATGAACCAAAATCTAACAATAAGGTTCCACAATTCATGTCACCAATTTGCACCTCACACCCTCATTGTTCCCTTAGTTTTCTGACTCGGGACCCTTTATTTCAGATTCGATTAGATGGAGTGCGAAGTAATGAAGAAGTCTGTAAAATTACCGTCATTCTTGCCCAAGGGATCCCGTGCTGCAAGATTTTTAATGATTCTTTGTCATTGCATAGTACCCTGTCTTGAATAGTCTGTCTCCGGTTGGTTGCTCAATGTGTTGGTCCAAAAAAATCACATTAACGCTCCAGGAAATCCTCCTCCACAGTGCCATTGCTGGTTTGCTTCGTCCAATCTATGCGTAAATTAAAGTTACCCATGATTACAGTTGTACCCTATTACATGCATCTCTGATTTCTTGTTTATTGCCTTCCCTAACATCTCCACAACTGTTTGGGGACTAATAGACAACCCACAACAAAGTTTCTGAGCCAATATCATTCCTCACTATTGCATTGATTTTACTCCTTTGTTAACAGTGCTACCCCATCTTCTTTTCCGTTTTTGCCTGTCCTTCCTAAAACATGAATACGACTCATTTCTGTGGGTCTGGAGTCACAGGCCAGCCACACTGGGTAAGATGGCAGATGGCCTTCCCTAAAAGGCAAGACCAGATTGGTTTTTACAGCAATTGATGATAGTTCTGTCGTCACCATTACTGAGACTGGCCTTCGTTTCCAGATCTAACTATTGATTTTAAATTCCAGCAGCTGCTGTGGTGGGATTTGAACCCATGTGCCAAGCACATTAGACTGGGCCTCTGGATGCCTAATCCATTAACATTGTCAAAATACCACTCTGGTGGAAATCCTCCCCATCTTCTAGTGTGTCTCTGACTTTGAGAATGGGCTTGAATTTACAACCTTGTAATGTGGAGACAGCTAAACTTTTGAAAAGCTGTGGGAAAGAATCAAAGACTGCGCAGTTGACACTTGATTCTTGACAGGATTTTAACCTGCCTTTCTCTTTACAGTTAAATTTTACAAAGAGGTGTATGGAAAGACCCAATCTTTTAATCAGTTGGTGTACCATCAGAACACAGTGGTGGAAAGCTTGAAAAACCATCTTCAAATCAGGAGTAGCCTGGCCTACCAACCTTTGCTTGAGTAAGGATTTGAACAGATTGATTATGTTAAGAGGAAGAGTCAGTGAATTAATCCAGAGCTGTATAAAGATGCTAATAGATTGAAAGATATTCCTAAACTTCTGTTTAATTGTAAAAAGAAAATCTGCAGCATTGTGCGCTTGTTTCAGTGAGCGACCACTTTGCTAAGATCAGCATGTCATCTGTCAAGCCTAGTTTCAGCCTGGGATCTGATTTATCCACTAGTAACAGCAGCTGGGATAATATGCTGTGATCTGTTGAAATTTGGCATTCTTGCATTTGACCTGATGAGTGAGAGACGTAAAGTTCAGCAACATGCCTCTTTTCTCCCCTTCAATATCTTGTACATATTTAAAACTTAGTCCTTTGACCAAGCCTTTGGTCAACTGTCCTCCTATCTCCTTATTTGGCACAGTGAAACACATTGCTCTGTTTTTGCTACATTAGCAAACTGTAAAATGATATTGTGCTGCTTGTGTATTACAGCCTCGTGGTACAGCTGGCCAGAGATCTGCAGGGGGATTTCTATCCTCACTTCAGAGAGTTCTTTGTAATTATAACTTCCCTGCTGAACACACAGGACACAGAACTGTTGGAGTGGGCCTTCACCTGCCTCTCCTATCTATATAAATACCTCTGGAGACTTATGGTCAAGGACATAACAGGCATTTACAGGTGCACATTCACTTTTTCAAAATTTTCAACTGCTAAACCTCAACTTGGGAAGTTTTCTTCATTTTTATGTAGGAGCTGCATGCTTTATATGAAAGAGATTGAAAGCAGGGACATCTGCTCTGGTATACATTCAATAGCTATTTTATGCTAATGTATTTTGAGATATATATGCTGTTTTAAAAATGATTAGTAAAGAATGAAAATAGAAGGCAGCATCTGTGAAGGAAAAGACAGAGTTAACATTTCGGGTCCAGTTCTCAGAACTCTGGGTTCTGAGGAACCCAGACCTGAAACGTTAACTCTGTTTTTTCCTTCACAGATGCTGCCAGACCTGCTGAGCTTTTCCAGCAACTTTGTTTTTGTTCCTGATTTACAGCATCCGCAGTTCTTTTGGTTTTTAATGAAAACAGGTTTATTTTACACCAAGAGTCTGACAATTTTTAGGCATTGCAGTGACAGAGTTTCTTCCTTGACCAAATGCAATAATTGCTTTCAAACTGGTGAAGTAATTATTCAAATACATCTGTAAATAGTAAATAGTACCCAATGATCAAAACTTTACAACACAAAAGAAGATTAAAATCTTATAGCCTGCACTGGCTCTCAGCAGGAACTATCCTATTAGTCCCTCTGCCCTGCTTCAGCATACCGGTCTTCACGCTCTTAATTATTAATCCAAGAATTCCACATTCTTTTTAGACAGCACCTTTATCAATTTGTCCTGCCGCCTCCAAAGATTAGTGTATGTTAACCCCCCTGCCTCTGCGCTTTGTTCCTACATCTCTATGTAAATTGATATTTTAGGTTTATTTAGTCTACAATATTTCCCATGTTAATGTACAGTAAACACTGCAAAATGATTAGTGCAATTTCGCCTATCCATTCCAAAAAATACGTAACAGCAAAATCCAACATCTACGGCAAAACTCACATATCCACGATTTTTAACCCATATTTAAACAAGCTCCACCCTCATGAATTTCAGCATTTGTGGGGGTTCTCAGGAACAGAACCCTTGCAGAGACAGCGGTATGACTGTATCACTTCAACATCTTCGTGTTAATTTGTATCTGTCAGTGTCTTCTAATTTATTTTTCCCATTTATTCTATTTAATAAACTGATTCTGTTGAGAGAATCATTAATTTTTCTCGACCATGTAAGTTTATTTTTAATTTTTAATTCTGTCCATCTTAATTGAAGAGCCAGCTTGAAATTATAAAGTACTATTCAAGATGTCCCAAAGCGTTCTACAGCTCATGAAATACTCGGTACGGTGGAGATATGATTATGAGGCAGAGAAACATGTCAGGCGATCTTTGCACACCCAAATCTCTCAAACAGCAAACAAACAAATGACAAGTTCTTCTATTCTCCGGCATTAGTTGAAGGATAAATGTTTGGGATGTATCGAGAAACACCTGCTTTCAGATAGATGTGTTTTGTGAAATACACTGCTTTGAATTTTGAATTTATCACTCTTGTTAATATGGTGTTTTTTTATAGTTTGTATAGCTCACTTTTGGGTCACAATAAGGAGCATATCAGATGTTTTGCAGCTGAAAGTTTTGCTTTCTTGATGAGAAAGGTGAGTTTATTTTAATAGTATTCATTCTTTGGATTAAGGGTGTGTGCCTTAGATTAGTGAGGCCCATCAATTAGGTGTTAATTGTTTTCAGTTTGAGTGTGTATGCGGGTGGATATACACAGAATGCAGTGTGGCTATGTAAATAACAGTTTGGAACTGAATAAAAGACAAACTAGCTGAGCTTTGAGCTTTCTAAACATCATGGTTTCTCCTTTAAGATGCCACTTTCTCTGACCAAGCTTTTGGTCACCTGTCCAAATATCTCCACTCAGGTACTGTGTCAATTTGTGTCTGATACCACTCCTGTGAAGCTGCTTGGGATCAAAAACAGAAGTTGCTGGAAAAGCTCAGCTGGTCTGAGGAAGGGTCACTGGACCCCAAAACGTTAAGTCTGATTTTTTCTTCACAGATGCTGCCAGACCTGTTGAGCTTTTCTGGCAACTTCTGTTTTGCTCCTGATTTACAGCATCTGCAGTTGTTTCAGTTTTTATTGAGCTGCTTGGGATGTTATGCAATGTTAAGAATGTGATATAAGTTCAAGCTGTTTGTAAACTGTTGTTTTATCATGTTGAAGAGGAAGTGTGCCAGGATATCCTTTTTCTGCAGATTCAGTTTAATTGCATGGATGTGTTTTTTTTTGTTTCAGTAAGTGATTCCTTTTTGTGTCTATGCAGGCTCCTGACCACAATGCCCTTTTCAACTTCATGTTTGCTGACCTGGAGCAACACTCTGAGAAGGCTGAGGGAGTGGGCCAGCTGCTTTTCGATGTGTGCAAAGGCGTCCAAAATACGTTGCACTCGTGTGCAGCCAAAGTAATATTTTAATCATTTGACTGCTGCTGATAAAAGACACATTGTGTTGAAAGTTTTGAATTGCTGTAAGGAATAACAGAGCAAAAGGGAAGAGCATTTTAGAGAGTACAGATTTGTTAGCAAGTGGACTGTAATTCTACAGGTGTCATTATGGAGAAAGCACCTGTTAGGTGAAGACTGACAGTTGTCTACCAAAAATTGATCAGTCAAGATGCCCTCAAGAATGAACCAGAGGATATCTGTCATACATTTTGTTCAGTTGAATCGAGTGCAGTATATGTACATGTTTTTTTCTGTCTCCATAAATCAGGGCCATGTGTGAGGCAGTTAGCATGGTGGGTGTTGTTGGTGGTAATCCAGAAACCCAGATAATGCTCTGGGGACCAAGGTTTGAAACCCAGTGTGGCAGATGGTAGAATTTAAAATCCTTTTCTTAAAAAAAAGTACAAACAAAATGAAGCCATCGTTGATCACTGTAAAAACCTATCTAGTTCACTAATATCCTTTAGGGAAGGAAATCTGCCATCCTTACCTGGCCCACCTGGACTCCAAACCCATAGCAATGTAGTTGACTCTGAACTACCCTCTGAAGTGGCCTAGTAAGCCATTCAATTGTAACACTTGTCAGTAAGTCTCGGAAAACAAACAAAACCGGGTGGACCACCTAGCATTGATGTCGGCACCAGAAATGACAGTGGCATAAACCGCCCTGCAAAATCCTTCTAACATTTCTATCAACATTGAGAGAGCCGTCTCACAGACAAGTTAAGCAACAGTCAGAATTGTACCTTACAGACGATGCCCCAGACACACCACCACCATCCCTGGATATATCCTGTCTCACTGGTTGAACAGACCTAGTAGACGTGGCGGCACAATGGTATCTAGTTGGGAAGGATTTTCCTGGGAGTCCTCAGAATTGACTCCGGACTCCGTGAAGTTTCGTGGTTTCAGGTTAAACATGGGCAAGGATACCCGTACTTACTGTCCTCCCTTGGCAGATGAATCAGTACTCCCCATATTGAACAAATACTTGGACGAAGTGCTGAGGGTGGCAAAGGCACAAAATGTATTCTGGGTGGGGAATTTAAATGTCCCTTATCAAGACTGGCTTAGCAGCAGCACTACTGATCGAGCTGGTCGGGTCCTAAAAGGCGTAGCTGCTGGACTGGGTCCGTGGTAGGTGGTGAGGGACAAATATACTTAACCTCATCCTCATATGCAGATATATCTGTCCATGACAGTATCAAAGTCCTGTCTTCACAATGAAGACATGCTTCACTTTGTTTTGTGGCACTACCACCCTGCTGAATTGAATGGTTTTCAAACAGACCTAACAACTCAAGACTGGGCAGACATTAGGCACTGTGTGCTATTACCAGCTATATTGTGTTCAAACCCAATCTGCAACCTTATGGCCTGGCATTTGACCCACTCTACCATTTGCATCAAGCCTGGGGATCAACACTTATTCAATGAAAAATGCAGTGGAGCATGCCAGGAGCTGCACAAGGCATCTCAGTGTCCTCCAGAATTCACCAGCATCGCAAATACCAGTCTTCAGCCAATTCGATTCATTTCATGTGATATCGCAAAACAGTTGGAGGCACAGGATTACTGCAAAGACGATAGGCCCTGACAACATTCAGGCTATGGTACAATAAACTGGTGCTGCAGTTACTTAGGGCAGTGCCACAGGCCAAACATTTTCAACTGCTTCATCAGCATTCTTCCCTCCATGAAAAGGTCAGAAGTGGGAATGTTCACTGATGATTGCACAATGCTCAGCATCATTTTGCAACTTCTCAAATACTGAAGTGCTCCATGTGCCAGGCATCTCTAACAAGAGAGAATCTAACCGTTGTCTCTTGACGTTCAATGATGGTGAATAATCCCCACTATCAACAGCTTAGGGTTACCATTGACCAGAAGCTGTGTTGGACTAGTCAAATAAATACAGTGGCTACAAGAGCAGGTCAGAAGTAGGAATCCTTCAGTAAGTATCTCAGCTCCGCACTCCCCAAAGTCTGTCCTCTATCTACAAGGCACAAGAGTGTGTTGGAATACTCCCCATTTGCTTGGATGGGTGCAGCTCCAACCACACTCAAGAAACTTGATACCATCCAGGACAAAGCAGCCCACCTGAATGACACTACATCCACAAGCATCCATTCCCTCCACCACTGACACTCAGTAGCAGCAGTGTGTGCTATCTACAAGATGCACTGTAGAAATTCACCAGAGACTCTTTGGCAGCACCTTCCAACCCGTGACCACTTCCACCTAGAAGGATGAGGGCAGCAGTTATTTGGGAACAGCACCACCAGCAAGTTCCCCTCCAAATCATACAGAATCCAGACTTTGAAATGTATAGCTGTTCCTTCAGTGTTGCTGTGTTAAATCCTGGAAATCTCTCCCTAGGGCATTGTGGGTCTACCAGCGTCACATGGACTGCAGTGGTTCAAGATGGCAGCTCACTACCACCTTCTCAAGGGCAACTAGGGACAGGCAAGAAATACTGGCCCAGCCAGCGACGACCACAACTGTGAATGAATTTTAAAAAAACAAAGTGGTAAAGGTTGTAAGCTTGTACTGTGTAGAATCTGAGTAGTTAATTGTGCAGGGTGCCGTCACAAGGAAGACTGATGATTTACAAAGCAATATATGATGAGTTGTTGAGCTGTATAAAGTTTTGTTTCCTGTTTTGTAGATTTTCCCAGCTGTCTTACAAAAGCTGGGGCCCGTCACAGAGTTGGAGGCCGTGTTACCGTGGGACACGGTTGGGGAAGCAGTTCACCAGATGGCCAAGTCGTTTGCAGCCTACGTTGACAGGGAACACTTCGATGTAGTCTGGAGCTGCTTACAGGTAGGTCGATCAGTATCGAACGGTCTGAGCAATCTTTCTGGCATTACTCATGGCAGCTTGTATGATGTGTTGTTCATTGAGGACAACAAAGAGCCACGGGTTTAAAGAATTACATTCTGAAGTCAGGCATCACAGACCAAGACAATGAAGAAGTGACTTTGTTGAAGAGCTTAGGATGATTAGAAACATTGATGGGTTTGAAACTGTTTTGTCTGATGAAGTGGGTTGAGAACAAGCAAGCAGAGTCTTCAATGAGAGCCAGGTCATTCAAGATGTCAGGAAGCCCTGCTTTGCACAGAGAGAGGAGAGTAGAAATTGGGAACTCGCTTTCTGTAAAAGAGTTGTTGAGGCTGAAGCTCAATTGAGAGCTCTCGACACTGAGATAGATATGGTTGTGCATGGGTATTTAGTTTTATGGAAGTAAGCCTAGAAAATGGTGTTAAAATACAGAACCCCCATGAGCCAGCTGGTGAAACAGGCTTGGGAGCTGCACAACCTCCTTTGGTCATATGTAATCTGGTGCAGTGTCTCTTTTAGAATTTGAGGCTGTTCCTAAAGTAAAAGCTGGATGAGGTCATTCGAATTTAATTACGTTTCAGACAGTGAGTCAGAATCTCAGTGAAATGCCTGACTTGATTTTTGCTTTCTTTTCTGAGTATGATTATCAAGATTAGTCAGGCATTGCAGTTATCCTGACTCCTGTGTCATGGAGATATTTCTTATTGCTGGTGTCGGTATCTATCTCTGCAATACAGATGTGGCTGCACATCCCACTTCAAGGACTCCAGCACTCAGTCCAAGCTGCCGGTACTGAGGCCATGCTCCACTGTTAGAAGTGCCACCTTTCAAATGGACCTGACTCTAGCCTCTTATTCTCAAACCCCTTCATCAGAGGAAACAGATTCACACCCATTAACTGAGGACCTTTCTGCTGTCTTGGGTGAATATAAAGATCCTGTGGCACAATTTTGAAGAAAACCGAATAGAGTTATAGAGTCATACAGCACAGAAACAGACCCTTTGGTCCAACTTGTCCATGTCGACCAAGTTTCCCAAACTAGACTAATCCCATATCCCTATTCATGAACCTGCTCGATTGTCTTTCAGATGTCGTAGCTGTACCTGCATCTACGGCTTCCTCTGGCAGTCCACCCTCTGTGTGAAAAAAAGCCTCTCATGTCCCTTTTAAATCTTTCTGCTCTCACCTTAAAAATATGCCCTGTAATTTTGAACTCTCCCACCCCAGCAAAAAGACCTTTGCTATTCACTTTATCTATGCCTCTCAAAATTTTACAAACCTCTATAAGGTCACCCCGCAACCTCCTCCACTCCAGTGAAAACAAGTCCCAACCTAGTCAGCCTCTCCTTTATAACTCAAACCCTCCAGTTCTGGCAACATCCTGGTAAATTTTTTCTCGATGTCCTGATCAATATTATTAATCCTTCAATCAACATCTCAAAAGCTGATTATCTAGTCTTTATCTTGTGTTGTTTGTTGTATTTATATCATTTCCTAGATTGCAACAGGGACAGTATTTCAGAGACATACTATATTGACTTTAAAGCACTTTGAGGTATTCTGAGATTGCCCTTATATAAAAGGGATGTGACACGCTAGCATGATGGACAGAATAGACCCACTGATTGTTTTGTGTTAAAATTAATAACTTCTGAGAAAATGATTCAGTCATGCAGACTACTGGTAGCCCGTGTTTTTGATGATATATCTTATATTTAGAAAATGTAATTTCAAATAAGTTTCCATTTTGTAAGTGACAAAAGACAATAGCAGCAGGAGCCAGGGACTGATAGGAATAGATTACGGTCCTTTTTGGGAATGTGTGTGGCTGTCCCATTGTAAGAATATTTTCTGTTATTAAAAAGCAAAAAGCTAATTTTATTTTCATTGATAGCGATGTATCCTGGGGCTCTGCGACAAATTAAACTACGGTGACAAGCAGCAAAGCTCTGATCAAATCCAGAGGATTCTGCAGATATACCTGGTGTTGGTGGAAAGTGGACAGGGGTCAAGGGTTACTCATCCAGTTGAGCTTTGTGAGGTGAGTCCTGTGATCATAGAGTCAGAGTGTTTTATAGGACAGAAAGGTGGCCATTCAGCCCATTGTGCCTGTATCTGCTATTCAGTTAGCTACACGTGCTAGCTATTTCTCCATAAATTTTCAGATTAATCCTCTTCAAGCACATATCTAAATTCCATTTTGGAAAACACTGTGGAGTCGGTTTCCCGTGTGCACTGTGATCCAGATCATCATCATCTGTGAAAAAGCATTCCTCCTTATTTCATTCTTTTGCCATTTATGTTAAAATGACTTTCCACAGAATTACCAAAGTGTTACAGTGCAGAGAGGTTTGTATGGCCCATTGTGTCTACACTGGCTCTTTAAATCAGTGTCATTACTTGGGGTTGGTTACTGACCAGTTTGCCAGTGAGGATGTTTCTCCCTTCCTGCTCTATTGAAACCTTGCTGCAATTCTGAATATCTTACTTAAATCTCCTCATAACTTCTACCCGCTGTGAGGAGAATCATCCCACTTGTTCTGGTCCAGAACTGCCAGCTGGTAAAGGATGGAACTGAGGCCAAGTTTTTAATGTACTTTTATCTATGAAGGCGAATATTATAAACATGCATCTCAAAACCCAGTTACTGCAATTTCAGTCTGGACCCATTTACAGGAGCACAAGTGAACTTCCAGTTAACGCAAATTGTTTGAACACAAAAAAAACCTTCCATTTCTATACGGTTAAGACCATGTCTACATACAATGGTGTTGAAAGTGATTTCACTAACCACACGCTGAAACCAGACGTCCTGTTCTAGTTACGCTGTCGGCCCAATGTACTTCTTTCTTTAGACCTTGATCCAGATGCTGCAGTCTTCGCAGATGACCACATCCTGCTGTGAGGCTCTTCTTGAAGTATTTTCCACCCTCCTCAAGGCTCAGAATATTACTCTGCCGAAAGCACTGATTGTAGAAGCTTCCAGGAAGGTAATTGATGCTCATATCTTTTTTTGCTGTACAAAATACTGGCAACGTGCTGTTGTTATGATGCATTCTGCCTGTGGAGGTGATTTCTGGTGTTAAAGATCTTTATGTCCTTTTCAACTGTTTAATCATATCAGGATTCTGCGATAACAAGGTGTAGAGCTGGATGAACACAGCAGGCCGAGCAGGAAAGCTGACGTTTCGGGCCTAGACCCTTCTTCGGAAATACTTAGTATTGCCTCTATTTGTGACATAAAAAGAACACTTTCTTGTTGTAAAGTGAGACGTTGAAGCCTTTCATCTTAAACTCATCAGGACCAACGTAAATACCAAATGTCAAATGATCACAGCAGTTTATATTGCAGTAGAAAAGGGTGATGATCGGTTGACAAATTGATGCTGGCTGAGGAAGCAATGAGGAATTATTGACTCCTTAAGCAAACAGTAATTCTTAAAAAGGTACAGGCTTGATTATATATTCCTTTTGTTTGCCAATAAGTGCTCATTGCATATGAACATGCTACTTCTAAATGAGCCACATCACAAGCTCAAATATCTTTAAATGAGTTAGTGTAGCTATTAGCGCAGTCAGGATTGTTCAGCAAGATGCTGCTCACGTGCAGAGTTCCATTGAGCAGTAGACGTTCCTTAATCAATTGAGTGGACTGTTAGCACCCTTTTCTTCTGTAGTAATAAATGTTATGAAATTTGGCATTCTTGTGTTTGTCCTGATGAATGTAAGCTTTGGCAATACATCTGTCTTTTCAGTAAGTTTCAGTTGGTTTGCTACCAAAAAGCAATGCCAGATTATCGCAATCACATGTATGTGTGCACCCATACATTTTTAAGAAAAAAGGTCTGTATAATTGGGTGTTGCTGTCGTGCAATCTCTCCCACTTTTGCTCTACGTTCATGACATCTCATTAAGAATGCTAAACTTAGCAGGAGACCATTTAGCCCATTGTATCTGTACTGTCTTTTTGAGACAGTTGATTAGCCCCACTTTCCTACTGTTTTTCCTTTCCTACAGATTTTAATGTTTGAGGTATTTAAAATTGAAAATTAGAATCTGGTTTCTCCACCCTCTCAGGCAGAGCATTCCGGATTGTAACAACTCACTGTGTTAGAAAGGAGTTTCTTCATGTTGCCACTGTTTTGTTTTTGCATTTGCCTTTTACCTGTATTCTCTGGTTATTAATCCTTTGCCAATGGAAACATTTTATCCTTATTTGTAAAGCTGTAATAATTTTGAATGTATCAATCTTCCCAACTCTAAGGGGTACAGTCCCTGCTTCTCCATTGTCCCCAAACTGAAGTTGTTCATTCTTGGAACTGTTTGTATAAACCGTTTTTCTTGCACCCTTTCCTAATTCTTTGCGAAAGTGTGGTGTCAGGAATTGGACCCAATACTGCAGTCAGTGTGCCAAACCAGCGTTGTTTCACACCTTGAAGCATTCTGCCAATGTGTGTGTTGCCATCTTTAACAGCTTCCAAAATGTGTCTCTTGATTCGTGTCTTCGCTTTCCTCTCTTGGCTTCTTTACAGTTCTTCTGACTTGTCCAATCCTCTCGGGTTTGGAATGCTGAAAGTGTACAAATTGTCCATGTCATACAGCAATGATGGTGAAAACCTGTTACTGAAGATGGGGTGCTTGTGCATCTTATTGTGAATGCTTATTGAAAGGAAAGAGATTCTGAGTGAATTTTCTGTTTCAGATTTACAGTAGTGAGTTTGAAAGAAAATTAATTCTGGAGTTCTCAGAGGAGATGTTTAACATGTGCCAGTTTGAACAGGTAAGTTTGAAATGCACTTGTGCTGTGGAGAGGTTTAATATTTTACCCCAGGGAAGTGGATTACTGATTCCAAATACAGTGTCCGAAATCTGACCCATTTACTCTCATTAAAACGGAATATTGATTGAGGATGTAATATGGTGAAGTCTGTATTGCCGCACTCACCCAAAAACAGACATATGCAAAAATTAGACACATTCTGAGACGCAAGTCACTTGCATGCACCAGACTTTTTACAGTTGAAACCACTGAACTTCAACATTGCTGAATCACAGAAGTGCTGTGGTGCAGAAGGAGGCCATTTGGCCCATAATGTTATAACAGCACTGTTGGGTTCTGTGAAAAATGGCATTTGTTTGATGATGGGAATTCGTACTTAGTGAAACAAGTGGAAATAATGGCTGTTTTCCTTTACCTTGAGCAGTGTCAAAAATAGTTGATAGTGAGGGATTCAATAGCTTTATTTCTTTGTCCCCAAGGAAAACAATTTACGAGGAGAATAAACAGCTAACAGAGTGCAGGAACTTAGTGAAATTACAATTAACTGGGAAAGCATTGCTGAGCAACCTGATGGAACTGCAAGCTTACAAATCCCCAGGTGCCTCCTAGTATCTTAAGAGGTTGCTAATGAGATAGTAGATGTGTTGGTGTTAATTTTCCAACAGATCTGATTTTAAATAGCTGTAAAGGAAGTTGTGATTGTAATTGCCTTGGGATGGTGGGGGAAACTTCTCTGAACAGCTCTGGTTAATTTACTGGAGGGTGCCGTAAGCATCCATCGTGATGTACTCTGATAGATGTTACCCTGGCAAAGTCGGAGCAGTTCTGGCAATGTACTCACTGTAGTATTCATGTCTAAAGAGGCAGGAAGTAGAAACGTTCATCATTGACTCCTGTGCACAATCTCGTTTATCTTTCATATTTTGTCCAATGAAAAGAAAATGGGAAGAAGTGGTCTTTGAAATTTTTTTAAAGTTATATAGAGAATTAGTCTCATGTATTTGGGAATTAGTAGATCCTAAAACTAGAACACCATGAGAATAAACTTGTCCTTCAATAAGTTCGTTTATTGTTTATAGCTGTTTCTGCCGAGCTTGCTGCAGTATGTGGAGGAGCAGTTTACAATTGGTGATCGATCGGCCAGGGAAGAAACTCTGGGAATTTTGGTGAAACTGATTCTGGCCAAAGCTGAGCCTCCGACTATTGGATCGATGGCATTTGAAAAGTATCCTCTTCACTTCACAGGAGCGGTGCAAGTGTGAGTGGAGTGATAGCATAACTCATGGTGATGTACCTTATCAGAACAGGATGAGACAGGGATTTTCCTATTAGTTATAGAATCATCCAAAAGGGGCTTTGGAGCCCGGGTCATTAAGTATATTCAAGGTTGAAATAGATTTTTAATCCGTAAGGGATCGAGGGTTATGGAGTTACGGCAGGACAATGGAGTTGAGGATTATCAGATCAGTGATGATCATGTTGAACGGTGGAACAAACCTGTTGGGCCAAATGGCCTACTTCAGTTCCTATACCTTGTCCAAGACCTTCAAGAGACAGCCGTCACAATTATGCTGTCCATGTGTGAAAAAGACACGACAGGAAGAGAGAAACCACGTAAAAAGTTAAGGCATTTTTACTTTAGCATGGGTGGCACAGTGGTTCAGTGGTTAACACTGCTGTCTCAAAGCACAAGGGACCAGGGTTTGATTCCAGCTATGGCTGACTGTCTGTCTATATGGAGTTTGTACATTCTCCTCGTGTCTGTGTGGGTTTTCTCTGGGTACTCCGGTTTCCTCCCACAGTCCAAAGATATGCAGGTTAGGTGGATTGGCCATGCTAACTTATCCATAGTGTCCAGGGATGTGCAGGTTGGGTGGATTAACCATGGTCAATGTGGAGTAATGGTGATAGGGTGGGGGTCTGGGTGGGATGTTGTTTGGATGGTCGATGCAGACTGATGGGCCAAATGACCTCTTTCTGTTTTGTAAGAATTCTACAAAAAGGAAAGATTTGATCTGGTTGAGGTCTTTACTGTTGTGAATGGATTGGAGAGGATGGACATGAAGAGAGAAACTGAAAAGTCATTGTTGACTTGAAACCTTAACTCTGTTACTCTTGTCATGAATGTAGTTGGACCTGCAGTTTGTTTTTAATTCAGGTTTCCAGCATTGGCAATTTTTAGTTTATTATAGATGTGGAGAAAATGTTTCTATTTGTGGGACAATGCAAAACTAGGGGCCATCATTATAAGATAGTTACTTGTAACTCCAATGAGAGGATTCTTGTCTTATTAACCCATAAAGTGACTGGAATGTGAAACTCGCTGTGACAGGATGTGATTGAGGCAAATAGCCTAGACATTTCCGAAAGGAAACTAGGCAAGTACATAAGGTAAAGAGAGATAGAAAGATTTACTAAAAGGCTGAAATGAAGGAGACTGAATGGGGGAGACTCGTGAACTAAAAGCACAAGCGCAGACTGGTTTCTTGACAGATTCAGTAATAATTTATTGATCTAAAGTGTAATTTTCGAAATGGGTAAATGTCAGGAACCTGAACATTGTTGCATATTTATTCTTGTTCTGCCTACTAATCAAAAATTTTTAATAAACATTTTCCAGTTCTCATTTTATTGATGAAAAGGATTCCAGCGGAGTGGAGAATGGTGGATCAGTTACTTTGGTGTTAGATTTCATCCTGTCTTTGCTGCACATACCTGAAGCTGGAAGGAGATTGGATCTTGCACATATCTGGGCTGCTTTCGTCATTCTTCCCCATATCAGGTCAGAAAAATGATTTTGAATGCGTTTTTAACTTTGAAAGCAAAGGGTGGACTTCAGTGCATTTGATCTTCATGCACTTCTTTGACAGCCCAGTTAGTATCGTTCTCAAATTCTGAGCCTGTGTTTAGTTAGATTGTGTCAAGTAGAGACACCAGGCAATCCATAGCTGTTAGATATTTTTAAACGATTAGACCGGCTAAGAGATGACACATGTCTGGAGAAGGTGTGAGTAAAATCCCAGGCCTTTTGGCCCAGAGGTAGAGATGCTACCACTGTGTCACAAGAACCCTAACCTATCTGTTACACAGGTACGTAGAATTAGGATGTAAGTGACATGTTTATTTCAGATCAGAGTTATAGGTGCACTGGTCACTGATTAAATAACTTGAGCACAGTGTGATAACGTGGTCGATCAGGCTTAGGTACTGGATTTAGCTTCTGGTCTCAGGCATAGTTTAGAATCCCAAGACCACAAAGTTCGTGTTCACCTGTAAGACCTGAAGCAACGAGCCCGAGCAAGAGACAAAAGAAAGCAGTCACCAAGAAATAGACCAAACGTAAGAAGCAGTATTGGAAGGAGGGTTACAGCAAGGCGCTGAGGCAGGTCAGTCCCGAAACGAACATTGACTCTTCATCTGTGTGTGTCATCATCTCCTTCCTCATCCACAACTTGGATCAACATTGTCATGGAGCTTTCCACCTCATCCTTTATAGCAAATGTCAAGACCATCTTGTCCAGGGAAATCTGGACCAACATTTGTGGCCTCCTGCCTGGGAGAGCTGATCACACGGGGGAAAAAAAATATCTGTCGCAAATAAAGTGTTCCGACAGACCATCTTGTAAGGAAAGACAGCTAGGCACTGTGAGTTAGTAAGTAGGAAGCCAACATACGAGATGCTCCATGCTGTAAATAAACCAATTGTCAAGGAAGAGATTTACATCGGCTTTCTTACCTCACCGTCAGGTTAGCAATATCGACAGCTGTCTGTCACCTAGAATGCAATACCTGACTGATCAAAGTCTGACTTTGCCTTTAATTCAGCAGATTGTAACATCTCTCATTTTTGACTCTGAATGATACTATTTTGAAAGGAGAGGGTTACAGGAGCAGAGGCATCCGAGGGTATAATTCATAAATCGTTGACAGTTGTAGGGCAAGTTGATAAGATGGCTACGAATGCCTATATAATGCTTGGCTTTGTAAGTAGCAATACTTAATATGATAACAAGCAAATCATACCAGACCATTACAAATCACTGGCTAGGACTTGACTGGAGTATTTTGTCCACCTCCAAACACCACACTTTAGCAAAGATATCAAGGTCTCGAAGCGAGTGATGAGGTTTATCAGGATAATACTCAGGTTGAGGGAGTTGAGTTGTGGATTATGAAGCTAGGATTATTCTCCCTGGAGAAAAGGAGATTTGGGAGATTTATTAGAGGTGTTTGATGCAGTGATGGGTTTTAGTAGAGTAAAGATGCTTGCACCAGCTACAAGTTGCCCTTCGGTGACTTGTCGACAGCAGTATCTAGGTCCCTTTGTACATCTGCACACGCTGCCTTCCTACCATTTAAGTATTTCTTAAATGGTGAGAGATTGGAAAGTGTAAATGTGCAAAGGAATTATCCCTGTCAATGAGTCACCAAAGGCTAACAGCAGGGGCGGCAAGTTATTAGGAAGCCTGATAGATTGTTAGAGCCTTTATGGTAAGAGGATTTCAACACTGGAGCAAATACTTGCTTCATTTGTGTAGGATTTTGCTTAGACCGCATCTGGAGTACAATGTACAGATTTGGCCTCCTTACCTTGGGAGGACATTATTGTGATTTGAGGGATGATTGTATCAAAGGTTCGCTAGACTTGTTACCAGGATTGTCCTACGAGGAGAGATTGGGCAAACTGAGTCTGTATTCTCTACAGTTTCAAGAATAAAGTAACCTCATTGAAACCTACGAAATACTTAGAGAAATAGACAGGAACATAAAAACAGTTCAGCCCCTCAGTCCTGTTCCACCTTTCAATGAGACGGTGACTGATCTGCAGCCTAGCTCCATATACCTGCCTTTGGATCTAATCCTTTAATATCTTTGCTTAACAAAACAATATCTATTTCAGATTTAAAATTAGCAGCGGATCCTGCATCCATTTGTGGAAGAGAGTTCCAAACCTCTATCGCCTTTGGTGTGTAGAAGTGCTTCCTAACATCTCTCCTGAATGGTCTGGCCATAATTCTCAGACTATGCCCCCTTGTTGTAGAATCCCCAATCAGTGAAAAAAATCATTTTCTGTTGTGTCTTTTCCTGCTAGTACCTTGAGATTTTGATCAGACCACCCCTTGAACTCTAAATTTTAGAGAAAACAGGCATCATCTGTCTAATCTGTCCTTAATAAGAGTAACTGCAGGTAAAATGTTTCCCCTGGTTGGGCACAAGTTGGAATAAGGTGGGGAACGGGCATTTAGAACCAAGATGAGGAGAGATTTATTTCCTCAAAGTTGTGAATATTTGAAATTAACTTTGCCAGAGGTGTGTAGAAGCTCAGTCTTTGAGTATATTTGACGTAGAGACTGATTGATAGATTTCTGACTACCACTAGAGTAAAGGGTTATGTGGCTAGTATGGGTAAATGGGAATTCAAGTTTTCAATTAGCCATGATCGTATCAAATGGCAGAGCGGGCTTAATAGGCTGAATTCTTGTTCCTCACTTGCTTAACTTGTTTCTTCTAGCTTGTGGATTGGTAGCCAGGCATCATGGATTTAAAATAATTGGGAGAAAGAGAAGCAGGAAAGAATTTGTTTCACAGAGGGTCATTAAGTTTTGGACTTGGTCTCCAAAATGAAAATAGTGGAATCACATTCCATGGGAATTTTTAAAGGCCATTTGGGGCCTGTACATCTGGAGGATGAATTTGCAGTTTTAAGGGGGGAGAAGCTGGCTGCAGAATTAAATTGAAGATCTCTCACTAAAAGAGCTTCCCCAAGCTTGATGGGCCAAATGGTTGCCTTATCGCAAAAGCAAAATACTGCAAATGCTGGAAATCCGAACTAAAAGCAGAAAACCTCCTGAGAAAAGGTCATTGACACAAAATGTTAACTTTTTATTCCTGTTGTAGATGCTGTTGGATCAGCGGATTATGTCCAGCATTTTCTGCTTTTCTTTCTGACTCCCTCCTACACTGTGAGGCTTTATGAGGATCCTCTTGTCTCTGGGTTGATTTTAATAATGGAATGCAAGTTTTGCAAAGGTCATTAGCATGATTCATGGCTCCCAATGGTGCAGTGTTGATGTTTTGATTTATTCAGTAACTTTGGTGAGACAGGGCCGAGTTAATTGAGTTATGTGTTGGGCTGTGTAGGCTGTAACTTGAACTATCTCCTTCATCATCAGTGATGCATTGCCCCAGTTTTCCTGTTTTGCTTTATATCTGCAGTACATTATTCTTTTAACAACTGGCATCATTCCAATTTTTCACATAGGCCTATGCAAACAGAGAAGGTGTTGGTCCAGGTTCAGTCATTTTTTAACTGGCTACTGACAACCCTTAAGGAAACTGATTCCGTTGATGAAGGTCAGTGCACTTCTCCAACGTTGGGGTGGGTTGTTTTATAGCATTTCAACCATTTATTTTCTAAATTACATTGTCGGCTGTAAAGCTTTCTTTGAGAAGTGCTGAAGTTTTAAAGGAAGTTGTATAAATCCAAGCCCTATTTCTCGCTCACTTGCGCTCACTGTTGCTGACATACTCTCTCTCTCTTGCTCTCCTGCTTCCCCTCGTGCACTCTGTCTACCCCTCTTTGACTCCCTCTTCCCCTTGTGCACGTTTGCTCATTTTAACACTCTGCTCACATTTTCATTCCCTTCCCTGGTCTGTCTCTCTCTTTCCTTTGCTCTCTCACATGCTTTCCCTGCTGCCTCTGAGGAGAAGCTGATAAATTCTAATTATTTCCCAGAATGATCAATGCTAAGTAATAAAATCGGAGGCAAATCCCTATAGTCCTGGCAGAAGCATCCAATATGTTGTGATGGAAGAGTTGCATTGTGTGTCTGGTTGGATGTGCTAAGTTAGGTCCCCATGCTGTTTTCTGCGCTGTGATCTTGACAAACCAACTCTTTGGATCCGGAGGCCATTATTTCTGGAGTGAGTTGTCAATGACTAGAGCCCTTCTTATTTTGATAGGATGGATGTTTGTTGCTCGTCAAGCAGTCAGCACCATTTTGAGTCTAACCGAATCTTCAGATGTCCTCAGCATTCTTCCAGTGGAATGTGTAAGGAATTTGATTAAGTAAGTATTTTTTCATAAATTGTGACATGGCTTGAAAACTATGCAGACCAATGATTTTTCATTTTGTGATTGAGAATTTATGGAGCCAAAATGATCAGTGATGACCTATGGTGATGAGCTGCTGCCATATGTCTGCTGGTGTTCCGGGGAGGCGAATGCAGTGTTTGCATAACTTGATACTTGCTATTTCGGAGAAACACATTAATGAAGTGCTGTAATAGTGCATTAAAGTGAGTTGCACATTGCAGCAGGACATTGTTTAGTGTTTTTGTAAAATGTTGTTCATAAAGCAAAGTGGTGGATTCGACATATCAGGCTAACTGTTTTTACTTTTGGTTTCATTTTTGCAGGAAGTCACCATCTAACCCCTCTGCTCTCTTGCTGGGTGATCTGTACTACACTCGGTTAGCATTATGTGGCTACAGTGATCTACTTTCGCAAGACTCTCAGCTTAACCTGTTCAGAGAACTTCGGCCAAATCTTTCCACAGCTGTTTCCAAGGTATTTTATGTTACCAGTATTTTAGTTTGACTGTCCATATTAGAATCATCTTTGTCCTTGGTATGTGGTTTTGCACTAATATGCAAACCGCTTCCATATCTACAGGGCAGTCTGAACTGCCTCATGGCCACTGGCTTCTTTTGAAGTGCAGTCAATATTATGTAGAAAGCTGTGACAGATTGTAACCAGAAGACGGCAGAAGCAATATTTAGATGGCCAGTTTACCTTGATTTGTGTTATTGGTGGTGAGGTGAATATGTCCGGGAGATACCAGGGAGAATGTTCCTGCTCTTTGAATCAGGGAGATGCACATAATTATTCATTTTAATATCTTGCCCAAAATGCAGCACTTCTGATAGTGAAGCACTCCCTGAGTACTGCAGTGGACCATTAGTTTGATTAATATTCATGTTAAACTAATTAACAAATATCTTTTGCAGGGGGAAGTTCAGATAGTTTCTCTGATGTTGGAATCGTGTCCTGTAGCTCACCTTAAACATTCACACGCTCCACCACCAATGCACAGTAGCAGCAAAGTGTACCATCTACTGGATGTACTGCAGCATTCATTTGGGCTTTTTTCACAGAATCATAGATGATAGAATCCCTACGGAGTAGAAACAGGCCATTCGGCCTGAAAAGTCCACAGCACCCCTCCAAAGATTATCCTGCCCAGACCGATTCCCCTACCCCTGCATTTCAAATGTCTAACCCAGCTAACCTAAACATCCCTAGGCACTACAGGCAATTTAGCATGGCCAATCCACCTAACCTGCACATCTTTGGACTGTGGGAGGAAACCGGAGCAACCAGAGGAAACCCACGCTGACACTGGGAGAATGTGCAAACTCCACACAGACAGTTGCCCGAGGCTGGAATCGAACCCGGGTCCCTGGCGCTGTGAGGCAGCAGTGCTAACCACTGAGCCACTGTGCTGCCCTGTCAGCAGGGCCCTGATAGCACCTTTCAAACCCAGATCCTCTACCACCTTAGAAGGACCAGGACAGCAGACGAATGGGAGCACCACCAGATGAAAATTCCTCTCCAAACCCACACTCACCATCCTGACTTGGAATTATATCACTGTTCCTACTGTCCTGCTTTCTCAAAACCCTGGACCTCCCTCCCTTCACAGTATTGTGAGTGTTCCAACACTGCGAGAACTGGAATGTTCAAGGTGATAGCTCACCACCACCAGGGCAATTAGGAATGGGCAGCAAGTGTGCATATCCCAAAAACAAGTTTTAAAAGAACTGTAGGTAGGAGGGATGTTTATAGCTGTTATCAACCACAGCAATGCTGTCATCCATTTATCATTCAGTCTTTCTTGTGAAATCTGCATTTTTAAAGGCAAAAATATTTTTGCAATCCTTCTCCAATTTGACCATGATCTGCCAATATAAAAGTAAAATACTGCAGATGCTAGAGATTTGAAATCAAAACGGAAAATTCCAGAGAAACACATCAAGTCTGGCAGCATCTGTGGATGGAAAGACCGAGTTCATGTTTTGAGTTGAATATGTCTTCTGTTTGAAACCGTAGAGAGGTGAAACTGTGATGGCTTGAATGCTGTTGCAACAGGGATGTGGTCAGATAAAACAAAAAGGAAGGCTAGGGATTAGTTAGAGAGCAGGAGAAGATTAAATGACAAACATGTCATGGAACAAAAAGAAAAGAGAATAGTAGTGGTTGTGATAAAGAAGCAAGTCATTAATTTCTGTATGAGCAAATTAATTGACAGTTTCTCTGTTTTTCATGCTCTAGCATTTTACTGTTCACTTGATTGTCCATAAACTTTCTGTGAAACAGGTGCGGCTTCTTACACTGAGGATTATGAATCATTTTGAAGTGCGGCTACGAAAAAGAGTCGAGGTATGACATTTCCTGCATTTACCCTGTATGCAGACAATGGCAATCATTATGTTTAAACAAAAAGATAAAAGGTGAAGCACAGAAACTAGTCCCTCGGGCCAGCTGGTGTTTGGTCTTCAGATGAGTCTCCTCCCATCTCCTCCCATCCCCCACCCCTCTGTCTCAACAAATCCCCTTCTTTGAGACTTTTCCCTGTCTGCTTGATACTCTGGTTACAAAGCTTTAAAATATATTAAGAGCCTCCTTTTTACCGAGAAAGCTTCAGATTAATCCATGTCCAACAACCTGCTCTGAAAGCTCTGCTAACATTTTGACAGATGTATCAAATTCCACTAAGGCAGCTGAGACAATCCACAACATTCTAAATTAAGCAATTCCAAAAAAAAAATGTAAAAACAAGCCAATTCTTCAATCTTCAATTTTAATGATTTCTTCAAAGAAAAATCCAGGATTTGGATTTGCATATTCGCCAAAATTGAATCAGTCCTTTTTTGGATCATACCCTGCCTGTATATTGAAATCTGGCCGGTGGTTTTTTAGATATGTTGTTTACAGAGAAACAGACTGACGCGTGGGCAAAAAACGTGGCCTGCACCCCTTTCAGTGGCAGGGGTGAGGACAGTGTAATTTATTTACTTGCATGGTTTAAGTTATAACTGTGGAAGTAGGAATTTATAATGGTGAAAGATGGACAAAAATTGTGCTAGAAATGGACTTCTGAAATGGTTGAATCACAGGGATACCATCAATATTCAAGCGTTGCTGTTTGTTTATGTGTACAGGATGAGGGCGATGGAGATCTTCAGCCTGTCTTTGCCATCTTACTGCAAGCTGAACTTGTCCCTGCAACCGTTCATGACTACAGAGAGAAGTTATTGCATCTGAGGAAGCTAAGGCACGATCTGGTACAGCCGTGTATCCCTGAGGGACCATATGATGAGGTAGGGAATAGGGCAGCTCTTTTATATTCCCCAGTTTAAACATTAACAAGTGGTGAAAATCATTGGACTTAAAGGAGCAAGGCAGTAAGCATGGTTCTGAGGAAGGGTCACCAGACCCGCAACATTAATTCTTTTTTCCCTTCACACATGCTGCCAGACCTGCTGAGCTTTCCCAGCAACTTTGTTTTTGTTCCTAATTTACAGCATCTGCAGTTCTTTCGGTTTTTATTTAGTAAACGTGGCATGCTTGCGTTGTCTAAAATAACATTGGTAGCTGCTTGAGCTAATCTGAGGCTGGTCCTGTGCTGATTTTATTTTGGAAATAATGGAAATGCATTGCAGAGACACCAGCAACCAGAAAGATAATGAACAGGTGAACATTTTGACCCTAGACTCTTGCAATTGATGATGAATTACACTTGATGCATAAATGCAGTTTTTCTCTGAAATGATGTTAGATTGACCTAGTTACAGTCCTAGCATTTTTTGTTTGTTGCTTAAGATTTCCACCATGTGTTTCCAGTTGTGTTTTTTTTTGTTTCTGTTTTGGACATTTGCTTCAAGAGAATTCTATCTTAACCACATGTTAGTTTTTGGTTTGAGATATTGGAGATCATAACTCACAAAGAAGTTCAGTAGTTGCTTGGTGGTACTGAATTTGAATCTTGCTGTAAAGAGAGTTATGTTGCCAAAGCTGCTTGTCTTGCAGAACAAACTTTGGCATTCTTTGGTTTTGTCCTGATGAATGTAAGATGAAAAGCTTTGTACAAGTAACATTCATGCCACACAACTTCCAGGCAAACAAGTGAAAACCTAACCATCTGCCTTTGACACTCAATGGCATTACCATTGCTGAATCCCCCATTATCAACGTCCTTGTAGGTTACTATTGACCAGAAACTGAACTGGACCAATACCGTTCCTACAAGAAAAAAGCAAAGGCTGGAGCTTGTACATTAAATGATGTACTAAGTGATGAACGGAGCCTTTTCACCATCCATAAGACACAAGTCAAGAGTGTGATGAAATATCCTCCTCTTGCTATGGTAAATGTAGTTCCAACAATACTCAAGCTCAACACCATCCAGGATAAAGCATCCCTCTAGACTGGTATCCAACCATCACCGTCAATGTCAACTCCCTCCACCACTGGAGTTTGTACCATCTACTATATGCACGGCAGGTATTCACCAAGATTCTGTCAACAGAACCTTCCAAAACCTGTGACCTCTCTCAGTTAAAGGACAAGGGCAGCATAGGAAGGCAAGGTCCTGCAAGTTCCCATCCAAACCACTCACCATCCTGATTTATAAATATATCTGTGCCTTTAGTGTCGCTGGGTTAAAATGCTGAGTCTCCCTGCTTAACAGTACTGTGAATGTACCTAAACCCCACAGGACTGTACCAGTTCAAGAAGACAGTGCCTTCTCAAGGCAACCAGAGATGGGCAAAAAACACTAGCTTAATCAGTGAAACTGCTGTGAGCAATTAACAGCAAAGTCTCTCACTTCAACAGTTTACTTTTTTGCTAAATGCCAAGTAGGTTGGTGTGTAAACCCAAGTTTTGGAACATAGGAAATAGAAGCAGGAATAAACTATTCGGCCCATCAAGCCTGTGATGCCATTCACCTAGATCATGGCTGATCATCTACCTCAGTGTCATGTTTCTTGTGCTATCCTTGTATGCCATGATATGTTTAATATCCAGAAATCTATTAATCTCTGATAGAGCCTCCACAGTCTGTTGGGGTAGAAAATTTCGAAGAAATTCTTCCTCAGTTCGTATGTAATGAATATTTTCAACGGGTTTGTGGCTGTGCTGAATGTTCAGTGCCCTTCTTCACTGGTTTGTATTCCCTTTTCCAGGCTCCTCTTCAGTATTTGATAGGAATGCTTTATATAAACTTCAGTGCACTGTGGGACCCAGTGGTTGAATTAATTGTGTAAGTATGCCATAAGTTACAATATACATGATAATGTATTTGATAAAGAGACAATAAATAGATAATTCAAAACAAAACTGAAAAGTAATTTACATTGTACATTTATTAAAATGGAAAATTTGGATTCTGTGCTCAATGCTGATAATCCATATGGGGTCCGAAATAGGAATTTTAAAATAAACTCTTGATTTTGCAGGTATGGGAGGTAAAGATGATGTGATCTGAAAGTTGGTGTTTTGTTCAGTTTCTGTTCTATCCAAGTTGGTGTTGCCTTCATGTATTATTGTTGAATTCAGTATGAGAGATCAAGTTTGATCAACTGACTTTAAAAGTATTTGGTATAATCTCGTGTGTTATAGAGTCATACAGTTGTACAACACAGAAACAGACCCTTTGGTCATGCTGACCAAGTTTCCCAAACTAAACTAGTCCCACTTGCCGGCATTTGCCCCATAGCCCTCTAAACCTTTCCTATTCATGTACCTGTCCAAATGTCTTTTAAATGTTGTAGTTGTACCTGCATCTTCCACTTCCTCTGGCAGTTCATTCCACATACAAACCATACCCAGTGTGAAAAAGTTGTCCCTCAGGTCCATTTTAAATCTTTCTCCTCTAACCTTAAAAATATATCCCCTAGACCTCCAGGTAATCCCAGAATAAGTTAATTTTTTATAATTTTAAAATTTTGTGCCATCTTCTTCTTCCAGTTCTCATGCACGTGGGATGGAAAGTAAAGCATTCTGGCGTATTTATTATGAGCATCTGGACCAGGCAGCTCATTTTACAGGTAAATAAAACTAAAATGTTTTAGCAAACTCAAAGTAGTCATAGAAGAGTTAAGTTAGCCTGTGGCTTGAAGAGAGTTGGTTTGCGGTTTATGACATTGTCTTTCCACATTATCCCAGGCTCTTGTAAACATATTCTGTGACTAATCACTATGGTAACCAAATTGCAAAAGTCGAGCCTATGATCTACCAAACCAGGTTTCACCCTGGGATCTGACTTGTTTCCAGTAGGAGCATCAGCTGGGATTATAGCACTTCCTAGACCCCCAACATCCACATTTTCATGGATTTCCGCTTTAGTTTTACCTTAGTGATGTTAATACATAAATTGAGCTCTTGTTACACAAGTCAGAGAATTTACTAGTGTTTTGTAAAGAAGAACATCACACCACAGATAGAAAGACTTGCATTTCTGTAGCACCTCTCACCATCTCAGTACGTCCAAAGTGCTTCAAAGCCACTGAAGTAGTTCTGAACTTTGTAGTGGCTGTTGTATTGTAGAAAATGTGGCAACGAGTTTGTAAAAAGCAAGATCCCGCCATCAGCCATGTGGTAATGACCACACAATCTGATCAGAGTAGGAATGTCTTACTGCAGTTGTACAAGGCTTTGTTAAGACCCCACCTGGAGTATTGTCTGTAGTTTCAGTCTCCTTATGTAAGAGAAGCTATACTTGCCATAGTGGCAGGGCAGTGAAAGCTCACTAGGCTGTTTCCGGGAATGACCGTACAGTCTTACGAGGAGAGACTGGTTTGACTGGGTCTGTATTCACCTGAATTTAGAAGAATGAGTGTGGATATGAATGGAACTTATAAAACTCTAACAGGACTAGACAGACTAGACTGAGGATATTTCCCCTGGTTGGGGAGTCTAAAACCAGGGGTCTCAGGATACAGAATAGGCCTGACTCTGTCAGAGGGTGGCCAGCCTGTGGAATTCACTACCAACGAAGGCTTTCAAGATCAGAATACTGAATATAGTCAAGAAAAAGATTGGTAGATGTTTAGATTTTAAAGGTATCGAGGGATATGAAGAGAAAGCAGGAATATGTCATTGTTGAGTAGGCATGAAGGGCTGAATGGCACACTCCAGCTCATAGTTCCTGTGTTTCTATTATGTTATGGTTGGGGATGAATATTGGCTAGGGTACTGTACAGCACTCCCTAGCTCCTCTTCAGCAAAGTATCATCAGATGAGGCCCTTGGTTTAAAAACTTCAGCTGAAAGAATGTTATCCCAGATGGGAGTAAATAGCATTGTTTTGTTGTTATTGTGAAACAATCCATTTATGGTTAACAGCCTAATTGAGAAGGCAATAACGGGTGAACTCATTTGGAAGTTAATTATCCAGTCTGAAGAGCAGAGTTTTATTGGGGAACATTGATGCCATCTTTCTGCTCTCGCACCATCTGAAAGTGCATCACACCCGGTGGTCGTTGTGTTTTTATTGGTCTTAATCAGTAAGTTTTATAGGTTTGAAGCTGCCAAGATCACTTGGAGAGTTGTCGTAGCTGGTCTAGGCTCCAGCTGTTTGCCCAGCTTTCTCATTTTCAAAGCAAAAATTGACAACTTTTGACGAGTGGTAGGTGGAGTAGAATAGGTGTGTGCTAGGGTGTAGAATAGGTGCGTGCTATGGTACAAGTAACCTTCAAACAGCCGTTTTTTAATCCTTTGATAGAGTATAAGCATTGCTGGCTGGACCAGCATTTGTTGCCCATCGCTAATTTTCCTTGAGATAGTGGTGGTTGTGAGCTGTTTTCTTGAACCTTTGCAGTCCGTGTGTGTGTGTGTGTGTGTGTGTGTGTGTGGATGTGGGTGTGGGCATGTGTTTAGTTACACCTGCAGTTTTGGTAATGGACTTCAGTGGTTTGATGGAGCTGAGGAGTTTACTAAGGCATTTCAGAGGGTAGAAATTCACAAAGATGCTTAACAGCAGCTTCCAGCCCACAACCACTTCTTCCTCGAGGGACAAGGACAGCAAATACACGGAAACAACACCTCCTGCAAGTTCCCCTCCAAGCCACTCACCATCCTGAGTTGAAAACATATTACCATTACTTCACTGTTGCTGGGTCAAAATCTTGGAATTCCCTCCCTAAGGGTATTGTGGGTGCTAACCACTGAGCCACCGTGCCGTTCCAGTGGTTTGATGATGGCTATCTGGTGGTTTCACAGTCATCATTACCAGGTGCCAAGGTTCAATTTGATCCCATGTCTCAGAGTCCAGTGACAGTACCACTACATCATTTTCCTGTAAATATCTAGTTACGATTAATTCAGCTTATAAATAGATATGTCATAGAATGTCCACGCAGGCAGGCTTTCTAGACATGGTCGTGACTTCAAATCTATAATTCTCCTTAAGTTCTTACAAATATTAATTAATGATACAATGGACATCCAACATTCAAATATATGTTCTTTCAGTGAAAACAGTGTGCTGGAAAAACTCATCAGGCCAGGCAGCATCTGTGGAGCGAGAAACAGAGTTGATATTTCGAGTCCGATATGACTCTTTTACAGAACATCTTTGAATTTGTGTTTAATATGAACTACTTTTTGTTTTAACCAGAGAAGGAATTGAAACGTGAATTGGAGGAGGAACTGAAAGACAGCATCACATCGGACACTCAGAGTATTCTGCCAAGTATAATCAGAGGATTGTACCAAGGTCAGCTCCACTTGGCAATTAAATCCAGTGAGAGAACAGATCGCACCAACTTCCGTTTCCTGCTTTGGAAAGCAATGAGTGCCTTTGCTGACAGAGTAGAACCTCGGTCACGAGAGCTCTCTCCTTTGCTTCTAAGATTTATTAAGTAAGTCAAGATACAGCTTTACACGTCTCAATGCAATTGGCATAATCCCAGTAGATTTATCTTTCCAGACACATTGAGAGCTGGGAGTCAGCTCGTGGCTGTATAGAATGTGACCAGAGAATAATAAACTGAAGTCCATTACTCGACCAGCAAGGCAGAGGTTCAGGAATTGGAAATGGCTGGCAAATAAGATTTAATAAAATGCACAACTAAATATGGGCCAGTAAAGATCACAAATTGTTTTAAAATCCCACTGATTCAGTGAGGTGCTACCGAGAAGGGGATGTGCTATGCTTAGGTCTGTTCTGTCTGTGACTCCAGCCTCCTGTTAGAGGTTGAGATCCAATGACCTCCGGGTAACTAAGCATGGACAATAAATGTTGCCCTATTAAGTGCCTAATGCTGAGAACAAATAATTTTAGAAAAAGGCAATTAATATTTCATGTTAGCAAACTTTTGACATTCATTTGCTGCTGAAAAAGAAAAGCTGAGAAGGTTACCAGCTACGAGTATAAGTTAGCATTCCATGTTAAGATTTGGCAGTAATTTGGAGCAGTGCTGTGCAACTGGTTGTTGGCACATGAGGCTGTGATAACAGTCGTTTTATTTACTTGCCTCACACACAATCCAGTGAAATGGTCTGGAAAGAGTATATTTACTTTAAAAATGCCCCTTGAGTCAGTAACCAAGGGAGTAAAACATTCAACCATCAAATTACACTTGCACATTTCCATCTCATTAGTTTACTGACAAACTGTGGAAAACTTAAAGTTTGCATGCATGTGTGCTCACACACACATTCACACCTGCACTCACATTTGTGCGCACACTTAACAGGGTCACATACTCACGTGAACACATGCCATGTGAGTAAGTATTGAACACATTAACAGTGTCTAGTACTCGTTTTATTTACTAATCATGAATGTGTTTAGTCACATGTAGAGTAGCAGTACATGGCTGGTGATTAATTTGTGACAGCGCCGATTTGGAAAGAAGACATAATTAGCCCACCAGCAAGTTTCGAGTGCGCAGCAATTTTTTTAAATGCAAGTTATTTATGTCCCTTCAATTAATTTTTGCATGTGCATTTATTTAAAGGAGCCAACCTGAGCACAACAATCTAGGTTGCTACTTGGTTTCCGCACAGGGAACAATGTTTGCAAGTGACCCGTCTCTCTGCTTGGTTTAGCAATGAATATTACCCAGCGGATTTGTTGGTTGCTCCAGCTGAGGACATCAGGAAGAAGCACGTTCCTGATGAAAAAGTGACCGCTGCAGAACCGCAGGATGGGTGCAGTGCAGTTGACAACGAGGTAGCAGCTCCTGAAGAACCCAAGTTTGCTGTGGGAAAGAAGCCCAGGAGGGCAGCTGTAAAGTAAGGAGGAGGCACTTTTCCTGAACTCTGAACTTGTCCAAATCTCTGTTCCCTACAGCTGGTTGTAATTATTTTCCACATTGGCCAAATCATTTGTGGCATTTTCTTGAAGCTGGTTGTGAGTAATTGGGTGGTTAATTGTATCCGAGTGGTGGGCAGTAGCTCCTGATTCAGTTGTGCTCTCGCATGGACAATGGGAAGTCCATGCTTGAATCTGTGTCTCTGTCAATAAGTAGCTTCCACTGTTTAAGCCATTCTGTCTTCATGCGCTGGTGTTTTGAAGCGTGACGTCCATATCTAACTCACAGCTAGTTCTATTTGCTCTTGTTGCTCATTGACCTGCATTGACTGTATTACACCCATATTAAAATCCTAGACCTTGTCTTAAATCCACCTATGGCCTTGCCTTTCCTTCTGTCTGTACCTTGCTCGAACAATGCAGACCTCTAGATATATGCTATTCACTAATTCTAACATCTTCTGCATTCCTGATTTCTAACTTCTGTGCCTTCAACTGCATGGTTCCCATCTCTGGAATTCCCACTCCACTTCTGTCTGCCTTTAGGATAATGCTTAATATCTGTTTCACTGTGTTTCTACTCTGATATTTTTCCTTAAGAGCCTCAGTGTTACACCTCACTTGATAATCCTGTTTTATTATATTAAAGGCATTGTATAAATGCAAGTTCTTATTATAGTAGTACTTCAGTAAGTCAACTTTCTCATATTGCAAGAATCTGCATCTATTTAAAACTGACTAGATCTGTAGGACATCCCTGAGTGTTGCGCAGCAAATTAAGTATTTTTGAAATTAGTAAGTACACCAGTTAATCTGATGGTGAATCGAGGCTGAGTCGCTGCCTATGAATATACGTCACTTCCAACAAGTGTAACTAAGCAGTGTTAAGAGCTCAACTGATTATCTTAAATTGGTTGCTAGTGTAGTTAATAACAATTTAAGACGATCAGAGACCCACCCTCTACAAGCAAAAGGAATTTGTTCAAGCCTTGCTTCTTTTTTGCAATTAACCCAGAAGCTTGGGATGCCCCTTTATTTGCCATGGCAGCACCTCAACCAGTCAGCATCTGTGGTCATGCGGTTGTTTGAAATTCTTACATTGGTCCTGAAGCATGTGAGAGCTCAGCCAATGTGTCTTTCTCGTCAGCAAGATTCTCATTTCTTTCTGGTTATTTGCACATAAAGCATACTCATGTTCGGTTGGATATATATTTGAAAGGGATGAAGTTAGAGGGCTGTGGAGATGGAGCTGGAGAATGGGACTAGCTGTGTAGCTCTTTTGAGAGCTATGACCGGCAAGATGGGTCAAATGGCCTCCTGTACTGTAAAATTCTATAATTCTATACCTTTTGCAATTTTTCTAACTGAGCTATTTGATGTTCTGCCAATAACAGTATCATTCCATGCAAACAACATTTTGTAAACATTGCTTGGAAATTGTGTGGATAAATACAATCCAAATAAATCACTTCTTGCCATTCTAGAGTTGGGGAAAAAAAAAACCCTTGACTTTATTGCTCTGTTTGCAATCAAGCTGGCATGGAAATGTTTCTGTTGCACTTGTAATTCCAACTAAATCTGGGTGCAGCCCATATCTGTACAGTTAGGGCCATAGGAACAGCCTGATGAGAGAATCCAGCAGTTCGAGGAGACTCCTTACCACCACCACCACCTCACAGTTGGGCATGGAAAGCAGACTTTGGCCTTGCGTGCATCCTGAGAACAAATATAAAGTCAATGCAAAATAGTTACTAATAAACTCAATAAGAAATTCAGAAGACTTTATTTTACCCAAAGAGTGGTAAGACCACCACCTCAAAGTGTGTTTGAGTTTGATAGCATGGACATGTTTGAGAGGAAGCTAGAGAAACAAGAGGTTTAAAGGAATGGAAGAATATGTTGAGAAAATGGGAGGAGGTTTATGTGGAGCATAAGCATTATATAATAGTATTGTGTGGAATAACCTGTGTCTATGTTTTAAATGCTGTGTAATTCTATGGATGTAAGTACAGCTTTTAGTAGAAAAGATTCGGCGTTCACAGAACGATCTATTGACTGGCAGCCAAATAGCTATTACCAATTGCACTCACTCTAACATTATGTTTAAATTGCATGCCTGGTTCTGGTATTCCATTGGGTTTCAGCCAGGAAATGTTGTGTGTGCACCTGGAGCTCAGTTGCTTGAGAACCAGCTTCTGGCTATGTTCACACACCACTCACATTTCCAGTCCTAGCAGATGGGAGGAGTGTGCTGGCTGCGATGTCCCCACACTGCCAACATTTTAAATAGGTGTAAGTGAGTGTGAAGTGTGTAGAGGGTTTCCAAGGAACTGCTTGACATTTTGCATACACAATTTAATGAGGCAATGTCCAGAAGAGAGACCCCTGCAAGTTTAGTTCCAGAATCTGCTCTGCCTTTGATGCTGTACTTTGAGTTACATTGCGATGAGGTTGAAAATGGAAGCAATTTTGCACCAGTGTTGAAAATAAGAATTACTGGATAGTTCTGTCCAGTGTCTTGGCCCAACAGTTATCCATGAGCCACCAACTAAAGGGAAACAGATAATCTGGTTCTTTTACCTCTGTCTGTGGAATCTTGCTGTGCACAATTGACTGCTGCATATCCTACATTGACATAAAAGCAGCTCATTGGCATGGGGGGGTGGGGAGGCCATGAAAAAGTTGTGACATAGCTGTCCAAGGTCTTCCTTTCCCTTGTAGAGGTTGCTCTGTTGGCAGGAGATGCAGGGTTAAAATTGGGCTCGTTTTCGGACGAGGCTTTTTGAGTAGGGAGCAGATTGAGGCCATACAAGATGGTTCTTTCAAAACCATGCTGCCACAAAATTTGCCACTGCTGGTCAATTGTTTGAAAATAGTATTCGATAACCTTTTATTCTCTCATTATCTCTTTCAAGCACATGATCTTCTGAGATCTCTGTGCTCTATTTCTGATGTTTCAGCAGCCTGATTTTAATGCCTGCTGTATGGGCGGCCCCCTCTTAAAACTACTTTTTTTGGTTTAGCTACCTCCATCTGCTCCAATATCCCCTTAGGTGCCACTGCCTAATTTCACATTTCAGCATTTCTGTGAGGAGACATGGAATGTGTTTTAATGTTAAGGTAGCTGTATAAATGCATGTTGTGGTTGTACAGAATGATCCTCCATTTAAAGTTTTTTTTTGGTATACGCAAATCCAATGCCAGTGTGTGGCAGCACCTTCCAAAACTGGAAGGCAATGTGTCTGCATTCCCATCACGGTGATCAATGTGCACAGAACCTTGGAGAAATCTCAGAACAACTGTGCAGCTTTGAGGGGATATTGGTTTTGAACCTCTGGGTTCAATGCACTTTGGTTCAACATCTCATTCAGAGGACAGTACCTTTGGCTGTGCGGCATTGCCTCTGTATTAAACTGGAATGTCAGCCGAGATTATTCACTTGCTCATGGACTGGCACTTGAACCTGCAACTTTGTAGCCACTCTTGTCTAAGCCAAGCAGCTCTGTAGCTTTGGAGGTCCCTCCCTAACGGCATTGTGGGTCAACCCACAACAGGTGGACTGCAGTGGTTCAAGAAGGCAGCTCCCCACCACCTTCTCAAGGGCAACTAGGGACGGGCAAGAAATGCTGGCTCAGCCAGCAACACCCACAAAATGAGTAGGAAAAAAGGCTGTGCAGTTTGATGAGTAAAAGGACTGTTCTACAAATCAAAAGAGAATGTATTGGAGCATTTGAATCGTTGTAAGATGGGTTCATGGTATTGCTGTGGAGACCCAGGAGGGTTTGGAGATAGAATGCAGGTTGCATTTTAAAGATTACCTGAGTCTCCTGTCCGTTGCACCGAGTTTTGATATGTGTGATCCTGAGCTTGTTTCGTGCCCTGCAAATGTTAACGTGTTCTGTGTCGTTACAGGCAATTGATCGCTCACCTGAATGTTTTCTCCAAGTTTACTAACCCAAGGTCACTGTACCTGGAACCCAAGCTGAAGGAATTGTACACTCAGGTAGGAGTTGAGTGTATAGCTCCGAACACCTGTGTTACCTGTCTCTTTCCCTGCCCGTCTCTCACTGTGGTTAAGAACCTCTTTCATACTGTTCTTTTTCTCCTATTTTAGCTGCTGTGCCATCATTGCCAGGATGTGCAGAAAATTGCCTTGGAATGTCTGCTCACTTACAAGCACCCACACCTTCTGCCCTACAGGTAACATTAATGCCTTTGTAATAAATCTCTGTAAAGGGTGTCATTATTTATTTAGCACAAATTAATTCCCATTGCATTGTTTGCTGCCACCAATTAGTAAAATGTTATATCTTTGCAGACAGAAGGAACACGTCACCATGCTGCACTTGTTTCCACTCATAAAATACATGAAAGCTGTTCGCTTGTTCAATTGTCAGGGCAATGTTGCAACCAATCAGGGTCCTGCTGCCTGGTTTAAAATTTAAAGCCTGACAGTTAACTGTCAATCTGCATCAAGCGGTGCAAATTATCACGGGGAACGTCTCCACTTGCCAAACAATCTGCACTCTCCTGCCATTGGGTCTTCCCCTTAAATTAGTAATGCGTATTGTCCTAATGAGTACAAGATGAACAGTTTGGACAAAATAAGTGTATTTTTCAGTAATATAAAATTACCTGTATAATTTTGTCTTTCCAGTTTTTCTGGCTGTTTTTTTCTCTCTCTGCCTCTCATTCATTCTAGTTGTGCTATGGTCCCATGCTCTTTCATACAATTATCAAAGAATCATCGAATCCTTACAGTGTGGAAGCAGGCCAATCGACTCCTCATCGACCCTCTGAAGAGCATCCCACCCAGACCCATCCCATGCCTGTAACCCTGCATTTGCCATGGCTTAACCACCTAACCTGCACATCCCTGGACTTTGGGCAATTTAGCATGGCCAGTCCACCTAATTTGCACATTTTTAGACTGTGGGAGGAAACCGGAGCACCCGGAGGAAACCCACGGGGAGAATATGCTAATTCCACACAGACGAGGCAGCAGTGCTAACCACTGAGCCTCCATGCCGTCCACTGTATTGCCTTGTCTATATGTATATATATGTATGTGTGTGTCCCTCACTCTTGGTCTCTCTCACGCTGTCTCTCGTCTTTTCCCTTGTCGGCAGATGTGGTAGGATCTGCTGAGAGAAACCTAGTTTGGACTCAAAATGTCAATTGCATTCCTCTCTTAGTGCAGATGCTGCCAGACCTTCTGAACCTGGGTCCTGGAAAAGGGTCACTGGATTTGAAACATTAATGCTGCATTCTGTCCACAGATGCTGCCAGACCGGCTGTGTTTCGTTAGCAATTACTGCTTTTGTTTGTTTCTCCGGAATCCTGCCTGTTTGGACCGATGTCTGAAATCTGTTTCCCTAGCAATATAAGCATGAGGCTGTTTTTCCAGCTGACTTCTGTCACAGCCAGGAGTTCCAAATAATACAACCGTCCAGACACCTGGGAATTTGATATCTGTTTTGGTTTCTATTTCAAAAAAAAGAATGAGAACAACCGTTCTCAAACTGCCAATTCTGTCAGACGTTTTTGCTGTGGTAGTCTACGTGTTTGTGTTCCAATACTTTAGTCTAATATGCTGTGTCTTTGGGAGGGAAGGTGCAGTATCTCACAGTTGTTTCTGTGTTAAACGAGGCTATTCATAGAGTCATAAAGATGTACAGCACGGAAACAGATCCTTCGATTCAATTTATTCATGCTGACCAGATATCTTAAACTAATGTAGTAGTCCTATTTGCCAGCATTTGGCCCGTATCCCTCTAAATCCTTCCTATTCATATACCCATCCAGATGCCTTTGAAATGTTGTAATTGTACCAACCTCCACCACTTCCTCTGGCAGCACGTTCCATGCACGACCACCCTCTATGTGAAAAAGTTGCCCTTTAGGTCCCTTTTAAATCTTTTCTCTCTCACCTTAAACCTGTGCCCTCTAGTTTTGTACCCCTCAACTGTAGGAAAAAGACCTTGGCTATTCGCCCTATCCGTGCCCCTCGTGATTTTATAAACCTCTATAAGGTCATCCTTCAGCTTCCGATGCTCCAGGGAAAATAGCCCCAGCCTATCCAGCCTCTCCTTATAGCTCAAACTCTCCAACCCTGAAAACATCCTTGTAAATCTTTTCTGAACTATTCGACCCATTGTGTCTGGAGTGGTTCTCTAAGCATCGTGACTCGGTGCTGATCTATCTTTTCCCATAACCATACACTTTATTTCTGTTTAAATAACCGTGCAATTACCTCCTGTATACCTCAGTTGAACCAACACATTTCCAGGCAGGGCATTCCAGACCCTAATGACATCTTGTGTGAAAATATTTTTTGCTTGCCTCGCATTTGCTTCACTTACAGAATATTTTGTGCTCTCTTGTTCGTTATCCATTTATGAGTGGGAACAGTTCCTCCCTATCCAGACCCCATGTGATTTTGAGAACTTCTCTTAAATCTCCTCTTCGTCTTCACCTCAGTTTCAACCGTAGATTTCCCCTGTTTCCCATGGACTTTGAGAAACTGTATCGAATATTAGGAGGCAGAAAATTGCGAGCATTAA